ACGCTGGCCAGAGTAACGCGAACCTGCAACCCTCCCAACTCTTATTTCTATTTTTAAGATTGTACTTTGATTTTTCATCATGATTGCCTAGCCACACGGCAAGATTAGAGTGGAACATATATGCCCTCTATCATCATTTCATTCATTTATACCCAAGCACATTGATCCATCCCAGTTTTCTATTGCTTCGTACAAATGCATATCGCATGCGCATGCATGCACTTATCCCATCCCAACCACCCAAGGCTACGGCGCTTCCAGGATTCCCCGCGTCCTCTTGTGCTCCCCACTTCTGTCGTGTACGCGCAGGACAGAGGGAGGACGCGTCTTGGTGATCTCCCACGCTGGCGGGACGGGTGGGGTCCAGGCCGTGGCCCATGTGCATCTCCCCTCCCCGTCCTTATATCCACCGCCGACTGTAACGAATGTACGCCAAAAAGAACGCAGTTAGCACGAGGCATATCAGCCAAAAGAAGAGCGGTCCATCGGGGTGGTTCATTAACGGTATTGTCGAGCGTCCTGTGTGCACGTCTGTGGATAGATGCCGGGGGGGGAATTTAAGGACGCGTGAGTCGCAACGAGTGACCAACACGGAATGCTTGCCTACGAACTCTCTCCATGTAAGTTCCTATGCCACAAAGATGTAATTTAGGTCCTCTCTAACGACTTCCCAAACGACCGACAGATCCTTCCCGCTGCCCGTGCCCAGGCGCGAGCCTTACCGACAAAATTAGTCCCGAAGTAGCCCGCAAGGAATTGTAAGGGACAAAACAACGCCGTGACGACGGCGAAGAGCTTCAGGGCCTCGTTCCGGGTATCATCCTTCAAGTACTTGCTTTCGTCCAGCAAGCTTTGCGCCAGGACCAACATGGTGTTGATATCATCGTAGAGCACGTGCAAATCGTCGTGGACCCCCTGGATATAAAAAAGCGCTTCGTCCTCCCGCAAGCTCGGTTCACTGATCAGGCCCCGAAGCACGGGAAGCATGCTTTTTATGCGTTGTTGCAGCGATATCAAATCGTGCTTCACGTCCATAATGGGTTTGCTTAGACGCTCACGCATTCGCGGCGCGTCCGGCCCGTTCAGGTCCCTCTGAAAAGCGAGAAGGCGAGTTTCATACAAGGCCATAATGGGAATAATCATCTTAGTGATGGTTTCGAGTATCGTGTGCAACATCCAATTCGAATTTCCATGTCTCACGGAGCTGTAGTCCTCATGGAGGAGGCGGAAGGCAGCGCCCAAGACGCTGGTAGGGCCCATGGGCGGGGGGGTCGAACCTTCTGGATTCAAAGCATGAGGCTTGTCTCCCGACCGCGGTGCAGAAGAGAGGTCCCCCGGGAGAGGGGGAATGGAGGGGGTGGAGAAGGTTTCGTGGGTCCAGGCAAGGGAGGGAGCCGCCTCCATGGGGATGGCCGCGCAGGCTCCTGTTTCGATGGGCACCGGGGCGGTCATCCGTTCAAAGACGTTCCGTTTCCCGGGAACCGACTCGTTGGGCGTTGGGGGTTCCAGAGAGCAGCACCTGTTGCGGACGCGTTGCCAAGCCCCGTGGATGGTGATGATGGTGTCAAAATGGGGGGGGCCGGCGGCAAAAATCGCCAAACGCGAGGTTTCGAGGGCAATGTCCGCGAAGTCTTGTGACGCGGCTACTTTCCACCTGTCCTCTTTCTTGGGGGTGTCCCCGTGGTCAGGGAGGCTGGTGGGGGTGGCACGGGTGCTGTGCTCGCCTTTGGCTTCCGCGGCATCCCGGACCAGGCGCAACAAGGGCAAGATAAGAAAATAATGACCTCCGTACTTGAGAAAGCGAGGTTGCTGCCGCTCCAGCTTGAGCACGTCTTCCAAATGTAATGGGTGGAAACAGTACTTGATACTCAGGCGGATGATGTTGGCCCTGTCTGACCAGTCGGCAATCACCCACCGCACCCGCCATTCTGGATCCCGGTGTCCCAGGAAGAAATCTCGCATGTTCCGACGCGTCACGTCCAGTCCCCGGACTCGGCGGGCGTTCCAGACGTAGGTTTTCAAAACCACTTCTTCCTCTTCCAAATTGTACAAGGCGCTCAACCGTCGGGGCCATTTCACATCCGCCATTCCCGGTATTTCCGGTATTTCCTGGCCGTTGCCCTCCTGTTCGCCGCTTCCACCGCGACCACGCTTCCCCTCGTCGATATCAATCTCCACGATGGACCGACGCGAGGCCAACGACATGACCCTGGGTCCCATGGACTTTTCCCAGACCCGCAAAGCCAACTCTAATTTGAGCCTTCGGAGCAATCCCGCGAAAGCTCCGAAGCAGAAAGTGTCCCCCTGACGTCGGGCCTCGCCCCCCGCCGACCCCGAGCTTTTGTCCCCGTGCATGACACGGGTCAGGACAAGCAACATTTCCGCCCAGGTCTTCTTCCAGTATTGTCGGAATTCCGGCCGCTCACCTTCCCACACGCCAAAATCTTTCAAGGTGCGTTGAAATGCTTCCTGCAGCTCGTGGGAGTGCAGCACATGGTCCGAGTGGGTGGTCAAGGCCTCAAAGAATCGCCGCAGCCCGTCCTTAGTCACGTCTACATGCTGTGGTTAGGGATGTTGGGAAAGCCAGCATGAGTGCAATCAAATTCAGAAAGGTTGGCGAGTGACGGCAGCAAATATCAGTCATGTACTGGAGAAATTTGCAGAGATTCATACACACAATCGCCTGCCAGAGGTCTCCAACCCGAGAAAAAGGATTGTCAATAGCTTTCGTGACGGACTGAGTCGCGAATTGCATTCGATGTTCTCCTGCCTTGGGAGCAGGAGAGCCGTTATCAAGGAAGCCGTCATAATCAATATGTCAACATCCAAAATTGTAGGGAAAACAAAGGCAGGGATGGGTTCATAGCCAACAGCATTTGAAAAAGCGTTTGCGGCGCTATTTGGACGGGTGGTGGAGAAAAGAAAAAAAAGCCGGAAGGGCCAGCCATTCAGGCCAAATCAGCCTTTTCCAGACCGACGAGACCGTACCTTGTGAATGCGGGGGTCATATAAAGCTTCAATCAAGGTCTTGCAGATAGCCCTACTGTCGTGTAAGCCAGGCACGCCATTTCGCATCACGACTTTATCCCATAATTCCTGCGGTAATTCTCTCCATAGTCGCTCCTCCCATTCTACACCGTCTTCGTCTGAGTCGGATTGTTTGGGGGCGGGGTCTGGCGGCGGCGAGACAGGGCTCCCATCTTGCAATGAATCCAGAAGGGCTTGCTCCAGCATTTCTCTCGAATATTGGTCTAAGTCTGACATGATCCTGTTTTTCAAAATGAGAACGCTGGTGAGCTAGGCAGGCAAATGAGAGGCTTTCACACCTGTTGCCAGGGTTGCAGAGAGTGCGTAACGGTTTCATCCGCAAGCTCTGTGCCTCATAATTACACCGCCTTTTGACCGAAGAATGGGGTTACCCGGCGTATACGCCCACGGATTGTACTGTCACATTGCCACACCCATTGGAAACAAACCTTCAAGAGTATGTCATACACTTGACGTTGCGATTCCCATACAGGAGTGCCCCACCCATTCAACTTCGGTCAACCACCTCCTCCAGAACGGCCCCGGCGGCCCATCCCCAATGCCGTCAATATCTAAAGCCGCAGCCTCAAACAAGAATGACCGGGACGCTACATCCACAGTCTCGGATGCTGTGGACATGGCCAGAATACCTGAATACATTTGGCTTGATCTTGTGGATGAAGCGAACCTTGAAGGAAGCTTGCTGCCGGGGATTCATAGGAGGGTTGACTCCTCAGAAGAAGCAATCGTCAAAGCCTTTAATGTACTTGATCGCGACAAAACAGGAAACCTAAGCCGCCCACAGTTCACTGAGGGTCTGAATAGATGTTTAATTACATTTAACGGCAATAGTCTTCCAAGTGACCTGCCTGCGCTAGAGGCACTATGGAGAGCCACGTCGTCCTCAGAGGACGCCAATGGCTTTGTGACTCAAGAGACCTTTGGTGCCGTACTTCGACGTTTGAAATTGGAACTTTTGTTGCCACCTTTGGTAGATCACTCATTGGAATCTTCATATGCGAGGACGGGTGACGGAGGCGGGGGTGCGATGGCAGAGGCGTGTGACGGGGAGCATGCAGCCTCCCGGGCCCCTCCTCCACTTGGTCATGCAGGGAGTAAGATGACCAATCAGCAGCATTCCATGCTGGGAAATCTAGGAATGGACGAAAGCTTGCTGATGAAAGTCTTCGATTTCACGCGTAACCAAATGTACAAGCGAGACTTGTCAGAAGGAAACCGGTTTCGAAATTTTTTTCTGGGTCGGCAGGCGCCCGAGACTTTGTTAAATTGGATCACGGTGAGCCTCCAAAAAATATGCGGACGCATTTCTTCTCACATGTTGGGTATTTAAGGGCACAGTAGGCTCCATCGAGTGTGGCGGACGCCGTGAACACCCCTGCTAGGCAGAAGCCTACAGGCAGGAAACCCCACCACCACAATGTCGCCGGGCAATGTCCATGTCCTCTGCGCACAAAAGTTGCGATCGATGAGCTTACCTGATTTTCCATCCCTCTTTCCGCGATCACCAGGTGGAGTCTCACGATTACATCAACATTCTACGCCTCGCTGTGAAGTACCGGATCCACAGTCTGCATTTGGAGGATGTGCTCCGCTTGGAGACGCAGAAGCCGAAAATGACCCTCCAGGGAGGAAATTATTTCATCGTTGTCTCCACTCTGCGCCTGGCACGGGAGACGGAAAGGGCCCTGGAAGCCTGGCTGGCGGAGAATCACGACGTGGTAGGGGTGAGCACCGACCGATTAGGGCGACGGAAACGGCCTTTCCCTATCATGCTGGAGGAGTCCACGGGGGGAATCTTCACCACCGCCCCGCCCAAGAACGACAACGCGGTGATCAACATCCGCACCCCTTGGCGAGCCGTCAACAACAAAACTGGCACCCGCATGTCGATGCGGAGGACGGCGTCGGTGCTGGGGGGCACGACACCATCTACGCCGTCCACACGTGCCTTACGCCCCCTCTCGGAACGAATACAGTCGGGGACGCGGAGGAAGGGTGCTGAGCACCTGTCTGTCCCTCCGCCCCTGTCATTCAGGCGGATGGGCTCGATGATCCCGGTGGAAACACAGGAGAGCCTGGGCCTGTTGCCGCCCCCGCAACAGGACCCCGAACGTCCCTCCCCACAAGAAGGAAAGACAGTCCAAGGCAGCACCTCGCTAGACGACCGTGAGAACGAGCGGAGACCAGGGGCGACAGTCCTGCACGGGAAACGTGATGTCAGCCAACAAGACGGCATGGGCATGGTCCCCAAGGTCTCTTTTGCCAAGCGCACAGCCATGAATGGCCAAGACGGGGTGACCGACGCCCCCCTACAGCTTTCAGGACACGAGGAGAGTACCTGGGAGGACCACGTTATCGACACCTCCATGCCTGTCGAGCATCCGGAGGAAGACGGGGAGGAGGACGTTCTTTTTGACCACGCAGCCACGCACGACACCTCCTTGCCCTTCGCGGTGGACAGAGAGGACACGTTCGACATCCACGTGATGCTCGAAGTGGCCGAGGGCATGTATCACAACAGAGGGACCGTGGAGGAGAATAGCACGCATTGGCTGCTTCATTCCATCCTCGATTATAACGTGGACCGGTTGGTACCCATAGTCGAGGCGTATCAGATCAGAGTCTCGTATTTTCAAGACATGCTGCACCAAAGCGGGGCCAATTTCGGGAAAGGCAGGACAAAGATGGTCATGGACACCAAGTTGGATTTGCTCTGGCTACAGCGGCGGGTGGCGCTTTCGAAACCCATTATTCGACAGCTGATACGCATCGCGCCGACGGAGCTTCAGCTTTACTATCAAGACGTGGACGACCATTTGGAACGTTGTTTGGATGGCTTGTCAGGTCTGTCGAATATGGCCCAGAGCATAATTGACGAGGCTCACAACCATCGAGAGGAACGGATCAATGAGATTTTGCTGTTCATCACGATCATCACGAGCATTTTCACCCCGGCTAGCTTCCTGGCCGGAGTCTTCGGGATGAATTTTCAAACCAGTCAGGGGGACCCCAGCATGCCTGAATTGTCGTGGGAGTATGGGTACCTGTGGTTTTGGCTTTGGAGTTTTATTTTGTCTGGTGGTGTCTTGGCTTGTGTGAGATATAAAGTCGGGAATAGGATTAAATGGTGTTAAAATTACTGATGATTTGTGTGAGTGCATATCAGTGGAAACGATCCTTTCCATGTTTAAAGAACAGAAGCACAATTTGACTAGAAATCACAACATCAAAGCGTAGCCAGGCTCTCTTTCAAGTATTTTTCTTGCTCGAATTAAGATTATGTCTGCTTCTTATCAGCTTTCCGGTGAACGGCGCGAGTTCCTGTCGTTGCCGAGTATTATTACCCGGAAGAGAGACAGAAAAAGTGTGCAAGAAGGAAAAAGCAGAAATGTTAAGACACTGCCGGCCGCCGAATGGTCAGTCATGCTCAGTCGAACCTTGATAAAAAGACTGGGAGCTGGTATTGCGTCTTCCAGTTTTACGCCCGTCACATTTTGAGAACTTTTCGATAAGTATTTGCATCGGTGTTTTCGACAACGACTTGTTCCAACAACCTGCATTGACTTGCTCTCACTCACAAAGGCAAAGGTAAAACTCGTCTCGGTGACCGAGAAGTCGACAATCTGCGAAATGCCCATCCTGTATAGCATTCCTTCGCTGCTCGCGTCCTTTGGCGTCTGCTCCCTACTCGTCTCACGTTCCACGGACGGCTTCGTCTTGTCCATGTCTCTCAAGTCACCCAAGCCGGTTTTTGGTGGTATTGCGCACGCGGGCATTCTCGTCTCGGACACACAATCGTCCATGGTACGTCCAGATAAAAATGTAAAGAGTGTGTAGATAACGAGATCGGGGAGGAAAGATGTCAAGACAGGATGATACGACACCTCATGTACGGGCTTCTACTTTCATGGGATCAATTTTAGAGGCACGTGATGCACGACTGCAACAACATTACGGAGTGCGCTCTGCATAGCAAATTTTACCTTGTCTTCAAATTCAAAGGAACTTTCCCCGGCCGTTGCTAGTGTTGCGTGTTCCGGCGTATTTAGAGAAGTTGTCTGTCTCACATAATCCCTCCACGGATCTTGCCCCCACATTTTCGTGAAGAGATTCTACCTGGACGTCCTCGGCTTTGAGGACGACACACATTTGCGCCCCTCCACCCTCCCTTTCCCGGGGGCCTTTGTGCGTGGTGGTGCCCAACAGATCCACTTAATGGAATTACCCAACCCAGATCCTACGAGAGGGAGGCCGGAGCACGGAGGACGAGACCGGCATGTGGCATTCACGGTCGACAACATCGATCCGCTAATGGCGAGGCTAACAGAGGAAGGCGTGCCTTTTACCATGAGTAAATCCGGGCGACGCGCGGTGTTCTGTCGGGATTTGGATGGGAATGCCCTGGAGTTCATGGAGGAGGGGAGCGTGGGAAGAAGGGAGGGTGAGAAGGAGGAGTTGTAAGCATGCTCCCTTTCGAAAGGTACAGGAGGTGTAAAAAATGAAGGTGCGATGTACACGAAATTTACAGGCGAGGTGGTGGTGGTCTGAGAGCAGGAAGGGCCGCGGCCCCCCCTCCTCAGGCGGGAAGTCCACGGGGCCCGAACGAAATGAACAGGATGTCTTTAAAATCTGCTTTATTCTTCCAATTTTTACTTGCGATATGAAAGATTTTCTGGGAAACCGTAATTTCCTTCCCTGCTCAGGCCCTTGTCTGCATTTCCTCCCCGTCTTCCCTCCCGCCCTTCCCTGCGCCCGATCCATACACCGCGTGGCACCTGTCTTCAAACGCGTGGATCTGCCGCTCCACCAGATCTTCGAACACCATGTCGATGGCCTTCTGTGCCAAAGAGTTTGAGACTTGGAAACGGATCCGGAAGTCGACGTGGGTGCATCCATCCCCCTTCCTAGTGTCCTTCCCTCTTCCTCCCGCCGTTCCATCCCCGCTCCCCCCTTCCTTATCCTCCCATGTCGGTTGAAAGTTCCATGTGCTTTCCAAGCGCGTGAATATCTTGCTGTCTAATGCGGCTATCGTAATGGAGCGTGGACGGTCCAAGCGCACACGCGAGGTGTACTTTTCCTTAAGAAGATTATTAAACCCCACGATTAGCTGCGCCTGGGGAAAAAATCGTCCATGACGGAATCATAAGGGGCAACAAGGAGTAAAAGGAATGAATTACGTTTCTTTGTTGAAAATGTACAGCACGCAGGCGTGAAAGAATGCCCGAATAACAGACTTGAAGGGAGTCAAAGAGGCGTACCAACATAAAATTGGGCGGGACTCGGCGCAGGACGGCAGACTGTGTGCAATACGGAAGAAAGCTTTTGTAGTTGTCGACATCTGCGACAACGTCTGTGTGGTACGCGAAAAATATTGGATAAAAATGCCTCGTTAGCAAGAGCAGCATGATTCTCGCTACTCAACTCGCAACCTACCAAAGAGCTGTTCGCAAGTAAAGGGAACGACGCGCTGGACACGGTGTTCGGTTATTCTCCCCTCCTGTTTTGTTGTACTGGTGCTTTTTGTTACATTGCTAGTACCGAAACTTCGTTGAGGCGCACGGTGGTGGAGGCGATGGTAGGAAAAAGGTTGATGCCCGGCGAAACCTTGATGCAGCAAGACAGAGAAAGATGGCGTCCCCGCTGTGGACAGAAGACATTTTGCATGACTTCTCCCATGTCGAACTAGTGTGGCCATCGCGCTCTGTACATTGTGCGGGTGGGAATTTCTCTAAAAAAAGGGAAATTAAGAAAAAGGGGTGTCCCGGAAACGGTGAGCGGGGAGGTCATTATGTGCAAGTAGAGAAAGACTTTGTTGTCCTTTTTTGAACGCATGAGGCGAGGTTACTGCCTCGTTACCACTGACTTGCCTTTCCGATTTTTTTACTATGCACAGCGTCGCGCGCATCAGGAACCAGATCAGGACTCAGAAGCGCTTCGCTACCTCGACATGGCAAGCTCGCTGATCAGGGCCCGACCGTCTCCTTTTTCGTAATTCCTATGGCAGGGACACGACTATGGACGCAGCTCTGGTTCCTTGCGGGCGTTGTTGTTCTGGCACCATTCGCTTTCCGACTAGCCTGGTGGCAAGAAGGGTTCGAACGTGTTTCCTTCCCTGATATACCCTCCTCCTTGAGGCCGCCCGGCGCGCCTTTTTTACCCTTTCTGGTCGTCTTGGTAGGACATGACTTTTCTTCAAGCCTCATGGAGATGGAGGTCGACGATTTTCGTGTGGCATTGAAGCGTGTTTCCTTCATTGCTGCTTCCTCGGGCCAGGAAAACGAGACTCTTGAGAGCTTTGCTCGCCGTGCTGTGGCAGAAATGCTGCTCCGGAAATGGATGCCAATATGCTTCAATACTGGCTGGTCCTCCTACCTTCTTCTCTGCCCATGTCTTCTACAGAAGCTGACTCATCCACCCCTTCGATATCGGGCATCACTTGGCGCTTGGAAGAACGCTTTGGGTATGCCCGCAGAGGCAACGACGACCATTCTATTATCCAGCAGGCTGGCCGAGAGCTCTCTCACGCCCGCGCGCAAATCTCCTTCCGTCCCGCCACCTCCACCCCCCTCCCTCTTGCACGCGAAATACAGCTCACTTTGGTCAGCCAAGATGCGAGCGTTCGCTTCTGTCGTTGGAATCGGGCCCATCTCTTAAACCGTCACTTGAACCCCTTGGTTCGTGCGCTAATACCCCTGACAACCTTCCTCCCCTCCCTTCAACTCCTTCCTTACGGAACGCTCTTGCCTGTGCAGACCAAGCACGCCCACGGCTACCCTCTCCCTCTTTCCACCTTGACGGGCATCAGGCAATATTGGGAAACCACGCTCCTCCCTCCTTCTTTGTCTCTCGTAGCCACTCCGGGGCCCATGGCGTCCCCCCTGCGGTTCCTCTTCTATTGCCCGGCCTCAAGTTCGGAGCAATCCTTGGCCTTCATGGATGATGTAGAGGAAGGCCTGCGGGGAACCAGCAACGCCTCCTCCCACCACGCGGTCTCCACCGGCTTGGAGATTCCCGGGTGGGGGGGCGCCTTGGTCCTACCCGCCCAAAACCTGTCCTCTTCCCCCCCTTCCGCCCATGGTCCCCATGCTCCCACCTGTTTTCTTACAGAAGCAACCTACCACCACATCCTTTCTTTCCTCCAGCCCATCCTGCGGACGTCTCTTGGCTTCCCCCCCTCCCCCCCGCCCTCCCTCCCCCTCCCCCGGCCCCAGCTCCTCCACCCGCTGGAAGTGGACAGCCTGGCCACTCACACCCTCTCTATCCGGCACCAGGACACCCTCCGTTCTCTCTCCATCCTCCGCGACCTTCGTCGCGCCCACCCCGGGATGCCTTTTCCTGCCCACGTAGCCGAGGCAGCGAGCGCGGCCGTGCAGGAACTGGTCAACCGGGGCCCGTGGGAAAGAGAACGCCGGCAGAAGGCGACTGAGGACAGGGATAGGACGCAGGGGAGAACGCTGGGGGAAAGTGGGCCCGTGTCGTCGTTTCTGCAGGCTTTGGCCCGTGTGAACACGGCCTGGGCCGCGGCGCAACGTGCGCTGGAGGATGCGGCGCTCTTGCCCCCTCCTTATTACCCACCCGAGCATTACGCAGCGATTTTCCTTCCTCTCCTTCTTCCCATCTTTCTACCTCTTCTTCTGGGGCTGTGGCACGAATGGAGGCGCTACAAGGAGAAGAAGAAGAAGAAGAAGCGAAAGTCCGCGTGAGTGCGTGGCGCTCATCCCTGTGCCATACTCGAGGTCGGGTCGCAACCGTGTGACAACCCCTTTCCAAGGAAGTGACTGCGGATCAAGGAACATGTGTGCCACACTAGTTTCTCTCATTAGGACTGGAGCGCACTCATTATCAAACTTGGAAAATAGCATTCTTAACCACCTTGTTTTGTGCAATAAACCACTTTTTTTTCTTCCTTTCTGGTTTCCTGGCGATCTGCACGCCTCCCTTCTCAGTCCTGTCGCCCTTTATCTACATTAAATACAAACTTCCCGCAAAGACAATGTCCCGACGAACCCTCTCGCTGGCTTCTTCCATTTTCCGATACAACGCCGGGTCTCCCATCAGGCGGGCCGCATTCCGTACCTCGCGGCACAACTCGTCCAGGCGCGTGATACACCGGACAATGGAACCTTCTTGGATCTCGGTCGTGGCCATGATC